CAAGCTTAGGTTCCCTGCCAAGCCCACCACCTCCCCCCCCCCCCCCCAGCCCACCTCCAGCACCGGCGCCTTGAAGGCCGCCTCCACCTTGTGCAGCGTGGCCGGTGCCAGGCTGCTGCTGCAGCTGCGGATGGCGCGCAGCGGCGGCGGGCTGGCTGCCGGGTAGTCCTCGTCGGCGCGCGACAGCAGGATCTGGTGCATGGTGGGCACGGCTGCACAGCAGAGTGTGGAGGGTTCTGGGGCAGGGAGGCTGGGCTGGGAGGGGCCAGCAATGCGGCAGAGGCGCGACTGGTGATCTAGCCGGCGTGTGTGCGCATGGGGGCCAGGGATGGAGCCGAGGGGCGGGGCAGCGGCAGGCGGGGGGGACACGCGGCGGCGCAGCGCCTGCTGCCGGTTTCGCCACCCTGCACTCTTCGCGCCCTCCCACCCGAAACGCACCACCACCCGCCAATAGCACTCACGCACAGCACCACCACCACCCACACCTGTGTAGAAGGTGGCCCCGTACTGCACAGCGTCCTGCCAGAAGGTGGAGGCCGCAAAGCGCCCCGCCGCGGGCATGACGACGGCGGCGCCGGCCGCCAGCGGCGACAGCAGTCCCGCCATCAGGCCGTGCACGTGGAAGAGAGGCATCACCAGCAGCGAGCGGTCGGCGGGCACAAACTCATACGTCTGTGGGGGGGTGTCGGGGGCAGGGGCAGGGGCACGTGTGCACGTGGGAACAGTACTAGTTCGTTAGCAGAGGCGTGCGGGTGGCAGATTGCGTGTCACAATGCACCACCCGTCCAGCTCATCGCTGCACCCCGTCTCCTACACACTCATGCCCACACCCACCCATCCACACCTGCGCAATGTTGTCCAGCGAGGCGACCAGGTTGGCGTGGGTCAGCGGCACGCCCTTGGGCCGGCTGGTGGTGCCGCTGGTGTGCAGGAACAGCGCGACGTCGTCGGGCAGGGGAGGGTCCTGCACCTGCTCCGTGGCTGGCGCCGCCACGGCCTCGAAGCCAGCAGTCTTGGACTGGATGCTGAGCATGGGCGCCGCGCTGCTGCCAGCGCCTGGAGGCGTGACGGTGAGGGCGATGCAGGTCGGCCCGCCCGCGGCCTCGGCTGCCGAATTGCCGCCGGGGCCCACCACCAGCAGCTTGCTGCGGGCGTCCTCCATGTAATATTGGAACTCCTCCTGTTTGGGGGAGTGGTTGGTTTGGAGGTTGGAAGGGAGAGGAAAGAAGGAGCAGCGGGGAAAGAAGCGGCGTGAGCTGCCAAGAACGCCGCCCGCAATGCCCAAAGCTGCTGCCGAGCAGGCCTCCCACACAGCGACAGAACTGCATGCATGCGCGGCTGGATGCTGAACACAAGCTGGAGGCGGGAGCAGGTGCGCCTCACCGTTTTGTAGTTTTGGTTGAGCGGTGCCGCCAGCGCACGGGCCAGGGTGGTGCCGATGAAGGCGACAACAAACTCCACCTGTGAGGCAGGCCGGGCAGGTGGACGGCAGTGGGCCACGGCAGCAGCGCGGGCAGCAGCAGGCGGACAAGGGTGCGCCTCGGCGGTGCGTGCGGGCACAGGCGCCCAGCTCTGCAGCAGCCCTGCCTCCTCCTCACCGTGTTTGGCTCGGCGATGGTGACCACGTCCCCGGGGCTGATGCCGGCGGCGCGCAGCGTGCTGGCAAACTGGGCGCAAAGGAGGCGCAGCTGGGCGCGGGTGTAGGCGGCGCCGCTGCTGCCAACCTGCAGTGCGGGGCTGGTGTCGGCGCCCACCAGCACGTCCACCATCGTGGTCAGGGACAGCATGCTGGCTTGGTGGGTGCCTGGCGTGTCGGGGAGGGTGTCAGGGGCCGCGCAGTTGGAGGGCGCCAAGTGCTGAGGTGACGGAGGGCTGGGAACGGAGTTGTTGGCTTTGATCGGCTGTAGGTCTTGTGCAGACAACGCAAAGACCAAGCTAAAAGGACAGCGCTCGCAGAAGAATACCGCCAGGTGGCGGCCTCTCAGCCGTCTCGGGCTGGAACACCTGGCTTAATACCGATTGCTAACGAATTGATCAATAGAGGAACGCCGCGCCCCGTCCCCGCAGCAACCCCCTCCACTGCCGCCTGCTGCTCCGCCTCCTGCCGCCCAGCAGCCACCGCTCGTGCGGCAGGGACCTCTCATCCACCTCTTTACACCCTGCCAGAATGCAGATGCACTCAGGCGCTGGCGCTGTGTTATCTACCCGATAAATGAATGAACCTATAAACAAGCCTCACTAGTATACAGACAGCCGAATGCGGGCTTCCCCACGCTACACCTCCCTTCGGAACGCCCATGCTGTTGCCTGGCTCAGCAGCAAGCCTTCCTTCTCCAAACTCCACTTGATTCTACTGCAGCCCCAGCGCCTTTTTCATCTCCTTGCCCGCCTTGTGCAAGGGTCCACGGATGGATCCCCGCTTCTTTTTCTTGCCCGCCTGCGCAGCCAACCGGGGGGTGGCGGGATGAGGGGATTATTTTGTCATTCATTCATAACAAAAAGAAAACATTTCATTTCAGGCGTGCTGCTTACCCCTGAATAAAGCACAGGGGTAACCAGCACGCCTACTGTGGGCCTCACCTGGGGGCTGGGACTGGGGATGGCAGCAGGCACCTCCAGATCGGGGCTGGCCTGCACACCAGCAGTGGCGGTGGTGGCGGGGGCGGTGCCGGCAGGCGTGGCCTTGCCCTCGCCGACGGGCACGGCAGCGGCGTGCAGGCGGGGTTTTGGCGTCCCCACCTCGCCCTGCCTGCTGCTGGCAGCAGAGCTGGGGCAGCTGTCGATCGCCACAGGGAAGGACGCCAGCCTGGCAGGTGCGCAGTCGCCGTTATGGTGGCCCGGGCCGGTGGATGCGACCGAAGTTGGGGCGGGTGTGGCAGGGCCTTCTAGGATGGCGGTCTGGCTGGCCATCTGCAGAAAGTCAGAAGGTGCAAGAGGAATCAGCAGGGTTGCTGCGGCGAACGCAGCTGCAGTAGAGGGCGAGCTCGGGTGCCCAGCGCACCTTGCCGGCCGGCACGCTGGCGGCGGGAGGGACGGCGGGCTCGGGGGTGGCAGGTGGGGGCTGGAAGGCGGTGGCAGGGGGTGGCCCGGTATCGGCGATCAAAACAGGGACTGGGACTGGTGCAGGGGCTGGGACTGGTGCTGCCACTCCCTTGGTGGCAGGAGCTGGCTCGGCTGTCACATGAGAAGCCGTGACCGTGCTGTCGGCAGCTGCCGGCACAGCTGCCGGCGTGGCGTGCGGCGCGCGACTGGCCGCCGGCGGTGGGGGAAGCAGCGGCTCGCTGGCCCTGGACAGCCCCTTGGCCAGACCCTCCACGCTGCCGACCACTGCCCCTGCCAGCGCTGCCACAAGCCGCTCATAAGCCGCCAGCAGCAGGGCACAGTGGGAGAAGAGGGTGCGCCAGAGGAGCAGGCTCTGGGCCTGCACCCGGTGCAGCAGGGTTGCGCTGCTCTCGGAGGTCGACATTTTGCGTGGTTGAACAGCCATTTTGTGTGGCTGTTGCGCATGCCTTGTAGTTCATTCTGTCAAGCACAGTCAGCGCAGCGGCGTCGGCGCCAGCGCCGGTGGCCGGCTCAGATCCCCGCATAGCTTTTGGCCGGCTCATCCCCGCATAGCAGGGCACCTACACGAGGCCAACCCTCGCACTTCAAACCAATAGCATCTCCACCGGTATAGTAGACGGGCCACTAGCGAACAAGGCTCACGATCGATCTGGTTGGGTGAGCGCTGAGGCATTGGCCTTGAGCTCCACCCCGAGCATAGATCGGATCGCGATCAGCGCGCCCCCTCCCCAGCCACCGCCTGCAGGGGCTGCCACGGCGCCCGCCACCGCGCCCTGCCACCGCCCAACGCCACGAGCAGCGGGCTGACGCTCGATGATGCGCCCATCGTTTCCGAACAGCCAGATCCCCATGGGCGCTGCTGATGCTGCTGATGCTCCATTGCATGAGCTGCCGCATTGCTCCCCCTCTCAGCCCACCCCCACCGCCGCCCACCGCTCGCCGCCGCCGCCGCAGGCGGAGAGCAAAACTGTCAACTGGCTGCAGTATTGGTATGCCGTGTCGATGGCTCCTCTGACGCCCTGGGGTTGCCACTCCCAGACTCTAACACCTGCTGTGGCAAATCAAATCAAGCACGACCACGCAGCACGCCTGCCGAATGCTATCCCGCTCCCGCCTGCTGCTGCTCTTGCAGCTCGCGCTGAAACTGCCGCTTCCGGGGAATGTGCTGCCCCTTCACTGTTGTTCGGTGCATGATTCGCAGTCCCACCTGCACAGAGGAACACCAGTCGATTCATCGACAGCAGCAGGCACGCCACCTGCTGCTGACGCACCTCCCTCGCCTTCCCTCACCTGCTCCAGCGGCAGCTGCGTCTCGGGCGCCGCCTCGTGGCCCAGCGCCAGGTTGTCGCTGATGATGAAGTCGCCGGGGCGCCACTGCGACGGCGGGGCAGGGGCCCCAGGAGCAGCAGCGGAGGCAGGGTCAGCCGACCAGCGCACCCAGCGGCTTTACGAAAGGCAGCACAGCGGGCACGCCATCGGCCCGCACCACAGCGGGCAGCAAGCCTGGGGGCAGCGCAGCCAGCTGCGGAAGCCTGGCGGGCACCTTGTGCGAGTACAGCAGGTGCCTGCAGCTGCTAGTGATGACCCCATGAATCTCATCCAGCAGCGCCCGCGTCTCCGCCCCCGACGCCACCCGCTGCTGCTGCGTGCCGACATCCCACACAAAACCGTCGGTCATGCCTGCGGGGAGGGGGAAGCGCAGCGGGCGCGGTAAAGCCAAGCCAGCGAGCATGGCATGGCGGCAGCAGGGTAGGCTAGGGCCGGGAGGGAGAGGGCTGCACTTTCCGGGGGAGGTGCAAGCGCCGCCAAGTCACCTAGGTGGAAGCACATGGCGTCCTGCCCCGAGAGCGGATGTTCATACCTGCAGCACAGGGCGCAGCAGCAGTGGATGTGGAGCGCCGTCAGCGTGAGCAGCGCTGGCCCGCTTCTGATCAGTACGCCCCAGCCTCCCACAAGGCCAGCGTACTCACAGCAGCGGCTTGGCCTGCCGGTGCCGCCGGTCGCTCAGCATCCATAGACGGTCCCAGCGGGCCCGCTGCTCCGCAGGCAGCGAGCCGACGATCTCGTGCAGCGGCGCAAACACTGCAGGGCAGCGAGGGCGCGGCGCGTCATGAAGGGAAGCCAGCCAGCATGACAGGTGGCGAGCCGCCGCCTGCGGTAAGCCGCCGCCTGCAATGATGAGGCGTCTGCTAGGCAGTCGTGTTCAGCCGTGCCGCCAGCAGCCAGGGGCGCTAGGGGCGCACCCGTGTCCCCCTGCGTGGGGCAGCTCACGATGTGGTAAAGCGAGTGGCTGAACGGAGCGGTCTGGAAAGATCCATCGATGTGCCACCCGGTCCTGCCCACATCTGCAGGTGCACGCGCTGGAGGATTCGGCTGTGACAGCACATGGAGCTGACAGGCTGATGACACAGGCTGCTGATTACACAGGATTACATGAAGCTGACAGGCTGATCACACAGCCACGTCTGCGGCAGCGCTCAGCAATCGCCAGTTTCCCACCTGTGCAGCCCTCTGCTCGCTCATTGGACACGCGGAACACATCCGGGTGCGGACTGGAAGGATGCTCTGCAGCAGACAATCAGCGACATATTGCTCATTCTGCTCTGTGCTCGCTATCGGGCTTGGCAGGCAGCAGCACCAGCGTGCCCAAGCTGCCTGAGCGGTGGTCACAGCCATGCTCCTCACTGTAAAACGTAGATTCTAGCTCCCCAAACCAGCTGCTGATCTCCACTTGCCGCTCGCCGCTCATGATGCCTTGGTCTCGAAACACCAGCAGGCGGTGCCTGCGCGCAGGCGGGGCGCTGATGTTGTGAACGCCGCAGGCGGCAGGGGCGGCAGCGGCAGAGGTCGGTGCTCACTTGGTGACATCGCTCTTTATTTGTTGAACCACTTCATCCGGCTGCGGCTGCTGCAGCTGAATCCCGTGCACCTCTGCGCCCACGGGCAAAGGAGTGAGAGTGTAGGGGCGGTGGCCAGCCATCCCTTGGCGAAACGGGGATCCTCGGACCAAGCGTTGAAGGTGGATCATGCTTTGAGAAGCGCTGTAGGTGCAGGGAGGCAGGGTTTGACAACAGGACTGCCAAGCTGGCGTGACTCGCCGGCTGTTGAGCGTGAGCGCTCCTGATCATTGGATTGCTGGGTGTGTGCTGTGAAGATCCCGGCCTTCCACTAAGAGCAGTGTGCTGGAAGATGGGCGTCAATTAGTCTCAACCAGGCACGCAGAAACCCGCGGTGTGCACTGGCCTACGGCGGGAGGACGCCGCAGAACATGTCATGATCGCCGCTGGCTGCAATGTGGACATGTCGATGTGCCGCCACCCCCGCCCGCCGCCAACTCCCGCCGCCACCACCGCAGGTCTGCAGACTATGGCGGCCGCAGGCTGGCACATCCAGGACGGCGCCGACGCCAAGGGCCGGCGCGTGATAGCCGACAGGGCGTACCGCGCCGGCGACGTCGTTCTGGAGGACGATGCGGCGGCCTGGTGCCTGATCAGCGAGCAGCTGGGCGCCTGGTGCGACTGCTGCCTGGCGCCCGCCGCCCAGCCGCTCCGCTGCTCCGCCTGCAAGCTGGCCTGGTACGCGAGCCGGGAGCACCAGCGGCGCGCGTGGCAGGCGGGCGCGCACCGCCTGGAGTGCGCCGCGCTGCGCTCCTGCGTGCCCCACACCCCGCCCACCGCCGTGCGCCTCGCGCTTCGGTGCGTGCTGCGGCACTGGCATGCACGAGCACCACGCGCAGCAGGCGCAGGAGCAGCGGGCTTAGCAGGCTCAGGAGCGGCGGGAGCAGGGGAGCCTGCCGATCCCGACCCCAGCCGCTACGGCGAGGTGCTGGGGCTGCGCCACCACTGGGGGGACCTGCAAGACGCGGCCAAGCTGGAGTGTGCGCAGATGGGCGCCGCGGCGCACCACCTGCTGCAAGCCGCGGCTCCCGAGGCGGCGGAGGCTGTGGGGCCGCGCGAACTGGCGCTCCTCATCGCCCGCTTCGGCTGCAACAGCCACACCATCAGGTGCGTTGGGGTGGCTGGCAGCCAGCCAACCAGCCAGCCAGGCGGCTCCTCCCTGCCTCTCTGCCCGCTGCACGCTGCCAATTCTTGCTGGAGCACCCCATACTGGAGCACCCCCTGCATGCTCTCATCCCACCATGCGCCCTGCGCCTTCGCCTCCCCCTCTCCCTCCCCCTCCTCCTCCCTCTCCCTTCCCTCCCTCAGCGACGACGAGCTGCAGCCGCTGGCTGTGGGCATCTTCCCGCTGGGCGCCATGGCCAACCACGACTGCCGCCCCAACACGCTGCACGCCTTCCGCGGCGGGCGCATGGTGTTCAGGTGGGGACGGGGGTGGACGGGCAAGCGCCTTGCTCGCGGTTGCTCGAGGGAGCAGAGGGAGGGCAGGATGGGGCATGTGCAGCCCTGCACGTTAGCAATTCGGTGGTGGCTGTGGCTGGTGCAGGGCGGTGCGGGCCATCCAGCCGGGCGAGGAGGTCACCACCTCTTACACCGAGCTGGCGGCGCCGCGGTGGGAGCGGCGCGCAGTGCTGCTGCAGCACCACCTGTTCGATATTGATGCACCGCCTGGCGATGGCGGTGCCGTAGCAGAGGCAGCTGCCGCAGAGGCGGCAGGATTGGGAGCAGGCTCAGCGGCGGAAGCAGCACCGGGAGCAGCAGCAGCAGGAGCAACCGGCCCCAGCTCAACAGCAGCCGGTGCCACTCGGAGCGCAGAGCAGCAGACGGCAGTGCAAGCTGCACTGCAGTGCATGCCACAGCAGCAGCCAGCCGCCGTGGTGCCGTTGGAAGTAGGCAGAGGCGTGGAGGTGCGGCTGTATGCCTGCCAGCAGCCGCCCTGGCCTCACGATGAGCGGGATGGCGACCTGGCCGAAGTGGTGCTGGTGGGGGCTGGTAGCAAAAGTGGGGCCAGCTGGGGCGGCATGTGGGGAAGCATGCAACAGGCAGGCAGCACATCGGGAGGGGCAGCGGCAGGAGTGGGTACCGAGTCGTTTGGTGTGGAAGAAGAGCTAGAGGGCCACCTGGAGGTGGCAGGGGCAGGGTCTCTGGGCAGCAGCAGCCTCAGCAGCACCGCCCTGGCAGCAGGGCCAGCATCAGGGGCCCAGCAAGGGGCAGCCGTGATTCACTGCTGGTCTGGCGGGTTGGCCGAGCAGCGAGCAGCGGCGGAGCAGCTGGCTCGGCGCTATGCTGCGGCCCTGCAGCTGCAGCAGTCGCTGGAGGGCATGCTGTGCGACGGCAGGGCAGAGGCAGCCGTGGGGCAGCTGACGCAAGCGCTGCAGGGGCTGGCTGGCGGTACGGCTGGCGCCAGGCTGGCGCTCGGCCCGCGCCACGTGCTGCGCATGCGCCTGCTGGCTGACCTGCACCGTGCTGCGCTGGCGGCGGGGCTGTGGGAGGCGGCGCTGGCAGCTGCCCGGCAGCTGCTGCCGCTCTACAAGCAGGCTTACCAGCCGGTGCGTGGTGTGGGCTGCCTGGGCAGATTGTTCTGCTTGTCTGGCTGCTTTCTACAACATGCAGTGACATGTCCCTACCATGATTGCGCTGTTTTTGCATGCTGCCGTGTGCATGCTGGGCACCGACAGATCTCTGCCCATGTGCATCAGGTCCTTTCCTGCCCCCACCATGCGCAGATCTGGCCGCAGCTGGGCCTGCTTTGGGCTAGCGCCGCCAAGCTGGAGCATCTGCTGGAGCGGCCCGCCCAGGCGCTGGCGGCTGCGCGGGCTGCGGCTGCGATCCTGGGTGCCACGCACGGCGACGGCGGGGCTGTGGTGCGGGAGATGCAGCGGGTTGTGTTTGAGGCGCAGCAGGAGCTGGGGCGGGAGGAGGCGTGGGGAGCGGCGGGTGCGGCAGAGGAGGACTGAGGACAAGGTTCCTCTTAAGCTCCCCACCCAGTGCAGCAGCATAGCGGATGCGCGGGAGATAGGGAGGGTGTCGCGATGGCAGCACTGCTTGCCCGACGCGCCAAGCACATGCGGCAGGGCAGACTTCGCCCCTTTCCAACTGATTTTACGTCTCTGGAGCCTATTTGTCATCTCACAACTATTAGCCAAAGCAAGGAAAGTATCAAATCATCGGCAGGCAAAGCCGCGACACAGCCCGTTTCTTTGAGCGGGCTCATTCTCAGCGAGCGGCCAGGCACAGTGCTATGAGCGCAGGGTCAGCACCAAAGCGTCGTGGGGAGAAGTCAGATGTGCACCCCCTCACACCATGCTGACCAGCGGGAGCGGCACGGTGGGGCTGTCCGGGTCGGGCACCGACACAGGCAGGTCGCCCTCCACGCTGGCGGTGGTACCACTGCCGGGCTTGGCGGCCTCATCCGTTGAAGCAGTGACCTTGGGGGACAGCAGGCCCACGATGGCGCTCGGGCTGCAGAGGGCCCAGGCGGCGCGGCGCTCCTTGCAGAAGGGAGTGCAGGGGCAGATCAGTGCCACCGCAGCAACGGCCACGCCCAGCACGAAGAGGGGGACCAGGATGATGAGGCCACACAGGCAGCACACCATAAAGCCCTCATCACTGTTGCCGCAACCGTAAGAGCTGTGGTAGCTGCTGCTGTACCTGCCAGGGTATGCGTTGGGCCTGCTGTCAGCAATATACATTGAGTCTGCGCCCCTGAAGCAGCCGCTGCCCTGGATGACTGCAGCAGGAAAGCCTACCAGGAGGCCGATGCCGCAGGCACCCGCGCACACATAGCCGAAGATGCGCCAGAAGCGCTTCCAAGGGAAGCGCCAGCTGGAGAGGCCGCCAGGGGTGGGGCTGTCACTGATATTTGCTGCCAGCCCAGTGGGGCGGCCTCGGTGGCATTGGCGCCATCCGTGTATGCTGCGCCGCTGGTGGGGGCGAAATCGTGGGGCCCCTCACTGTCTGGAGCTGGCTCGCTGGGGCTGCCGCTGGCGGCAGCAGCAGGCGGTGCAGCCTCGGGGTGGGGCGTGGGGCTCGCAGCGGCGCCGCTGGTGGCAGGTGGGTGCTGGGTGGTGGCGGATGGGGCCACGGCGGGAGCGGGTTCTGCGGTGGCGTCCGGGACCTGGGCAATGAAGGGGCCGGAATGCAAGTGATAATTAGCATCAGGGCGCCGTTCTCGTCTTCAAGGCAGCCAAGGGCAGAGGATGGGCCTGGCCTCTCAATGGCCCACATTCCGCCCGCTGCTCCCGCTTGCCTGGGCGCGGGGCGTGCCACTCGACGGCGAGGTGCTGTTGCCGCCTGGTACTGCCTGGCAGGAGGCCGCCAGGCTGCAGAGGATGGCGACGACCGCCAACAGACGGCCGCGGAAATGCATCGTGAGCTCCTTGGGACAACCTAAAGGTGTTTGGGGGTGTTTGAAGGTGAATTCTGCATTAAAAGAGCACATGAGGCGGCCAAGCTATGGTCGCGCGCCTTGCGCGCTGCGCCGGCCGCTGGCGCGGGCGCCGAACCCAGTCTGTTGAGCTGGTGTGAAAACGTTGTTCTCAGATGAAAGAGGTGCACGTGAATGCAGATACCAGCAACCAGCATCATAGGGCTTTCCTCACGCAACCCGCGCCGCCGACCGGAGGCGCAACCGAACGGCACAACTGCGCGCGCCCGTAAAGATCCTGTGTCGGCAGCTGGTGAGTGAGAGCTGGTACTGTAGGTTCTCTCACTAATCCGACTGTTATGTACCCCACGTTGGGAGGTAGGGAACGATAAGCCAGGCCAAAGATGCGCACCCGCCGCTGATGACGTACTTCTGTACCAACACACGGATGTCATTTCAGCCGCCCCGCATACACCCTAACTGAACTCCCCCTGATCACTTCCTCGATACCACCGAAACCGTTTGAGAAGGCATGGTGGCCATCACGCGGAGCGCCGCTAGGCTACGGGCTCCCGACTTCACCGTGCGGCTGCCTGACGAGCTGCTGGAGCTTTGCTTCCCCGCAGAATGCCGGGCGCTGAAGAGGTAAGCGCTGCCGGGCACGGGTTTCCGCCATGGTCTCGCCTAGAGTTCAACTCGAAGGCTCGGCTCAGGCTGCGCCAGGTTCCAGCAGCTGCCAGCCCAGTCTTAGCCCTCCATCCCCTGGGCCTGAGTCCTCGACTCCCTGGCCGTTTGGTTTTGCCTGCAGCCAAGGCCGCCTGCGCCTGGTGTGCCGTCGCTGGCGCCAGGTTGTTGACGCCAGCCCCACACTGTGCTCCTGTCTGTCGATCGGCTGCGCGTACCTTGCCAAGGACCGCCCTACCAACCTGGACCCAGAGGCCATGGTGCGGCTGGCCCAGCAGCGAGCCGGCGTGGTGCAGTCAGCCGACGTGGTGGCAGCGCACCTGCCAGGCATGGTGGATGCGGCGCGGCAGCTCACTGCGCTGACGTCGCTTGCCTTGCAAGCTACACCCGACTTTGGGTATGAGCAGCCCGATGCCAAGAGCTGTGGCGCGGCGCTGGCGCGGCAGCCACTGGGCCTGGGCGCCCTGGTGCGGCTGCGGGACCTCTTGTTGTGCGTGGACGACCTGCAACCTGCAACCTGCGGCCAGCTGTCTGCGCTCTCCGGCCTGACCCACCTCGACGTGGGGACCGTCATGGCTCAGGTTCCGCCCCAGCTGTGGCAGGCTGCGGGCTGCATGCCGCGCCTGGCGCACCTGCGCTTGGTTGTGCATGTGGGTGTGCATGAAGCGACGTGCACCATCGATGGCGAGGCGTGGGTGTGCCTGGCGGCGTGCACCCAGCTGACCGCGCTCACATTGCGCCACTGCTTGACACATGACTGGGAACGTGCATCAGGTAAGAGGTGTGCGGCTCTTGATCACCACACCACACTGCCTACAACACCCCGCCCAACTGGGCAGCCACCATCCCTACCCCTGTCCCTCACCACACTATTCCGTGCATTGCCGCAGACTTTGAGCTGCTTCCGGGCATCGCTCGGCTCGAGTCGCTGCGCTGCTTTAAGCTGAGCGGCAGCCTGGGCAGCCTGGGCGACCTGTGGCAGCACCCAACCCTGCGCCATTTGTCGCTAGACCTTCGCAACGAAGACCTGCCGATGCCCCCTGGTGCCGACATATGCATGCCCGCGCTGCAGCACTTGAAGTTGAGCAGCGAGAAGTTTGACTGCCTGCCACTCCCGCCGCCACAGCTCTTTGACTGCCTGACGGGCCTGACATCGATGGAGCTGACGAGCAGCACGCGTGGCATGGTTGACGAATGGCATGCCTTTGATGGCCTGGGGAAGGCAAGGCTGAAAGGCTGCATGTGTTGCCCGCTGATGTGGCACCTCCCCCGATTCGTCTGGCTCATCAGGCACGCTCTCTCCCGCGATCCCTCCCTTTCCTTCGCCTTTCAAAGTCTCTAAGGCTTCTATTTCTCCCCTCCCGCACCCCGCAGCTGCCGCAAATTTAAAATTATGAACCAACCTGTCATCCTTTATGCCTTAGAACGGCGCCAAAACGGCGCCAAGAATGTGTTTCTCACTAAGTCAGATGTAGAGGGCATCATCCGGATCAAGCAGGGCGACCAGCAGGCGCCCTCAGGCCGGCGGCGGCGGGGTGCGGGAGGGGGGGCGGCAGTGCAGGGCGGCACCAAGAACTACAGCAAGAAGGTGCTGCAGTTCTTCCAGGTGCTGAAGGGCGCTGGCGGTCAGGACATCCTGTGCCGCTGCGTCAAGCGCAGCGGAGAGTGGCGGTGGTGCCCCGTGGTGCCGCTCGAGGAGCTGCCCCGAGTGATCAAGGAGCACCACGAGCGGGCGACTGGCTTCAGCGGTGTGGAGAAGCTGTACACACATGTGAGTGATACAAGGGGTGCAATGCTGCCGCCAGACCAACTGGAGAGTGCTCTGCATCAGGCAGCAACCGGATGCATCGCAGCAAGCACGGGGGGTGCGGCACGGCCAAGGTGGCGCTGCCCTCCTCTCCATCTATCCCTCCTTCCCTCCCTCACGCCGCGCACTCCCCTGGTCCTCCTTTGCTGCTCTGCTGCCTTTCCTGCAGCTGGCCTACAACGCACCCACCGAGCTGGCAGCTGGTGCTGACGGCAAGGTGCCCT